GCGCTGCCGGGCTGCTGGAAATGCGCCGCCAGCCCGGCCTTGTCCTTGCACTGCTCCTTGCACTCCAGGCACCTGAAGCAGCTGTAGCTGCCCTGCTCGGGGGCCCCCCCGCCCCCCAGGGGCAGCACCGGCGGCTCCTGCGCCCCGTTGGCCGCGCCGGGGCCGTCCTGGGCCACCCTGCCCGGCGGGAAGGAGGCCACGGGCACCAGGGGGGTGATGTCGGGCTGGCCCACCATCTGGTCCAGGGCGATGGGGCGCATGACGAGGTGCGAGCACTGCATGACCAGCCCCTTGTCCTTGTGCTCGCGGGCGTGCAGCAGCAGGCTGCACTTGTTGAAGAACACCAGGCGCTTGGTGCAGTGGTTGCAGGTGACCTCGATCCTCATGCTGCGCCGGTCGTAGTGCCGGGCCAGGCTCTTCTCCAGCGCGAAGGCGTCGCCGCACTCCAGGCAGCGGTAGCCGAAGGGCGGCAGGGCCAGGCTGGCGTCGGCGGGCGGGTTCAGGTTGGGCTTGTAGGTGGGCAGGAGGTTCTTGCTGTTGAGGATCTTGTTGAAGGCCTCCACCAGGCTGGACTGGCTGCGGGAGATGACGGTGCCGGCCAGGGCGGGCGGGGGCGGTTTCTGCGGCTGCACCATCACCACGGCGGCGCCGTTCACCTTGGGGGTGCTGGTGGCGGCGCTGGTGGCACCGGCCGTGCCGCCCCTGCCGTCGGCGCGGGGCAGGCTCTGCGGCACCAGGTTGATGATGTTCTTGGCCACGGCCTTGCCGGGCTTGGCGGGCAGCACCACGGCCTTCTGCTGGGCCACGCTGGCGGCGATGAGCATGGCGCTGCTGGCGCTCTGGATGGCCGACACGGGCAGCACCGCGCCCGGCAGCTTGGCACCGCCGCCCAGCTGCACGCTGACCATCCTGGGCCCCTCCGCCGCCTTGGAGGGGCTGCAGAGCTCCGGCCTGTCCTTGGGCGAGCCCTCCAGGGGTCCATCCTCCCTCGGGGTGGGTGCTGAGCCCTCCGGGGCCGGCTCCTGGGAGCTCTGCTCTGCTCTGGCACAGCCCGGCTCCGAGTCCGAGGACACCCTGGTGACCGTCCTGGTGATGCTGCCGCAGGAGGTCTTGATGGTTTTGATCCTCACCTTGAGCGGCCGCGAGGAGCTGGAGGAAGGGGAGTCGTTGTTGTTGCCCCCCTCTTCTTCCTCCTCCTCCTCCTCTTCCTCGTCCTCCTCCTCGTCCTCGGGGCTGGACGCGCTCTGCGGGCTCCCCACGCCTTTCTCCAGCCCTTCCCGCTCCTCCTTGAGGGAGAGGCCGTCCCTGGGGGCGGGGGGCAGCCCCCGGGGCGAGGGGGGTTTGTAGAAGGGCTCGTGGGGGCTGCGGGGCGAGTGTTTCACCTCAGCCCCCGGCAGGGCGGGCTCCGGGCCGGGCCAGGGCGGCAGGGCCGAGTCCTCCGGTGGGGGGTAACGAACAGTCACCGACTTGAGGTGCTCCAGGGGGCCGTCCCCCAGGGCCACCGCCAGGCCCTTGGGGCTGGGCTCACGCCCCACCACCTCCTCGGGGTCCGATTCCTCCTTCTTGATGGCCTGGCCCGGCTCGAAGGGCTGCGGGAAATTCGGGGGCAGCTTGTCGGGGCCGTCCCCTTTGCAGTCCAGGCCCGGGCCGGGGGACGGGGACAGCGACGGCACCGCCAGCGCCTTCTCCTTGGCCCTGCCCTCGCGGGGTGGGGGGGCTCTGTCCAGCAGGGCGGGCTCCTCGCCGGGCTCGGGGCTGAAGTGGGAGAACAGATCCAGGGCCTTGGGGCCTTTCTCCTTCCCCCAGCACTCCCCGTTGGCCCCGTCGGCCGCCCTGGCCCCGCCGGGGGGGGACCGGGGGGCGTCGGTGGCGGCGGCGGCACCAAAACCGTTCTGGAGCAGCCGGGCCCCCA